TGTTGTTTACTAAATCCAGGGGGGAGAACACCCTTGTAGCGGGCTCATATTTGAGCCCGGTCAGTGGTAAATACCATGGCCAAAAGGAACCATGTGGCGTCAGCAGAGCTTCTGCGGTTGCGCAGAAGGGCGAAGTCCGCCATGTTTTTGGCGACAAAAAGATGGCGGCGAAGTTACCGAAAAATGACGAGCCGGTCCTCCAGGAATTATTATATAGCTCAGTGGAATAAACATTCTATTGCTTTCGTGGGGATTATAGGGGCTATTCAAGGACTGTGGGGAACGTTGAATGGGGTTTTTAGTTATATATTCATTGCAATTAAACTTGTACAACCTGTTGATTTTCCCGTGGAATATTGCGACATTTCAGTAAATTTACATATCACGATTCACGTGAACTGTTAGTTCAAGGTCATTGATTAACATTTCGGCTCTCAACCTGAATATCGCTCATTCATTATTAACAGGTATCGTACCTTTCATTTTATAATTTGAGTTGTAACTATGGATGGTTCAGTACCACAGGTTTTAATTTTTGGCTATTCGTTTGTCCGTATGCAGAATGACTTAGATAATGCATTTGATTTACGTGCCAAACAAAATTTAATTTGGCGTCTTCCGCAGGCGTGTATTTACACGGCGTGGGCGGTCGCACTGTTGACAAGGTCTTTAAATATGACCTGCCATATCTAAAAAGTCAACGGCCGGACATTATTATGGAATTAGGCACAAATGACTTGTCCGTTATGTCTCCTGAGGCGGCTGGCTCGCGTTTGAAAGAATTAACCGTATTTTTACGTGATACTCTGCATGTATTGTTAGTGTTGTCGTTGTTTGCCAAGTAATTGACCGTTATATCTCACATTCACAAACACCTGATAACGTTTTTAACAAAAATGCAGCACTTTTGCGGCAATATTTATCTGTGGTGCTTGATCAGACGCCTGGTGTTCTCCTATGGGAACATCGGCCTTTCCATAAAGCTAGACATAATTTACTATCTTCGGATGGGGTGCACTGTAACCCAAAAGAGCAGTTTTATTTATATAAAAGTTATCGGGGGGCCATCCTGAAGGCTCTCAAGTTTTTACATTAATTGCCCTTGCTCGGGATTCTACCACTTTTTCCCAGCCCGGATCTATGTTTGCGTGTTTTTGTTTATGTTTGTTATATTATTTGTTGGTTAATACTTCTCACCATTTGATGTTTGATGTTTAATATGATAGGTTTATACTGGTGATCTTTGTTTTTATATATGATGATATTTATTTTATTATGGACATGTTATATACTATTTCTTGTTAAATGTTACGATTGATTATTTATTCAAACAAGTGTTTCCCCCTTTTTGGGAGCACTTCTTGGTGGCTAAAGGTAACACCCTGAGGCAATGAGGAATAGAACTTATCCTTATGGGTAAGATCTAAGCATGAATGTTTCGGGAGCACGTATGGTCATGGCTGTTATGACCCCTGTTGAGAACTCAGCAATTACATTCAGTGGGGGAATTTACATACGTGATCGCACGTAATATGCCATGGTTGCCTCTCCACTAATGTATTAGTATGCATACATGGGATAGCAATGTTTACTACACAAATACACAAATGGTTGCCATCATGTTGTTATGTGCTGTTATACCCAATTTTGCATTCGGCTACCTTGTGCCGAGTTGTGGTATGCCATGCTCATATGAAACCTGTCTTGTCCGCTCATAATTTGAGTTTTCTTGTTGGTGTATATGTGCTTGTTGTGTGATATAGTGTTACATAGTGACCTTCATTCCTAAATAATATAATTGGTTGCAAGGGCTTGTTCTAGTTTTTCTTTAGACTATGCCTGCCACACGTCCGAGTACTCGGATACAACGTCGTGCCAATCCTTCAACACCAGGGTCTCGACGAACATCCAATCGCAATGCAGCCAGACTCTTAGCACCCAATACTTATGTATCTTTGGACTCCCCTGATCAGGCTAATTCTTCTGTGGCCTCTGGCTCCCTGGATCCGGCAAATTCTCCCCAGGCTGTCGCACCTCTTTCAGGTATAGCAGATGAAACCGTAACCAGGATTGCGTCGGCGGTTGCCCAGGCAGTTGTTGCAGCTATACAATCTCCACCAGTTCCATCGGTTGCTGATACCATGGAGGTACCCATTCATACTAGCAATGAGACTGATGCCCAAGTGCAGGGGCCGGTGGCATCAGCCTTAGAGCACCTTACAGGTGAGCACGTTAATATGGCGGTTGTGCGTCCAGCATCATCTGGTTCTGGTTTCCCCTTAATTCGGTTAACACTCCTATCGATGCCCTGGTCAGTCCTGAAGTGAAGGCTAAGATCTGGGCTAATGAGTTCATTGATTTTGGTTCTCTCTTAAAACCACATGTTGGGTAAACACGATACCAGCTTTCTCTGGACCGGGAGAACAATTGGTTCCCACACTTTCTTTAGAGCCAGCAAATAAAACTAAACCTATAACCACTATTGATGCGTGGACTTCAGCCTTCCAGATTTTCGTGGCAGTTTACACCAGTAAATTTCCCCAGCACCAGCTTTAATGAAATATGGGGAGGTAGTGCGCGATTTAGCTATGCGGGGGGCCGATTAGAAATTTTATGATGTTCAATTTCGGCCGCTACGACAAACAAAGGCACATGAGATGCCTTGGGGCTCGACCCAATTTGAATTGTGGATTCGCACTCAGCGCTTTACACATAATGCTCCGGTAAGGCCACAGAGTGCCCAGCCTGCTAGTCGTACTCCGCAATCTAATCCATATGTTCCACTTGGCTTTTGTCGTGCTTTTCATATACGATGGAGGCTTGGTTACCGGTCGATAAAATCTTGAAAACACGCAGACTTTTGTCCGGCTTTCTTGGCCGTCGAAAGGAAAGTTGCAGGAGCTTCAATCTTTGATTGGCCTGCTTAAGCACAGTCGTATTACCTGGTAGGGCTTTTTTACGGCGCCTCATTGATTTAACCAAAGGTATTACTGTCCCTTATTATCGTATTTGGCTGACTAAGGCAGTTAGAGCTGATTTGAGCCTTTGGAAATCCTTTTTGGACGACTTTAATGGCCGGTCGTTTTCTCTCCGATGATTGGCTCCCTTCTGATATTTTGAATTTATATACTGACGCCGCTGCCGGTTCGGGCTTTGGTGCCATATTTGGCAACTTTTAGTGTTATGGTCCTTGGCCAGAAGACTGGAAAAAAAGTAACATTGTCATTTTGGAGCTTTTTCCCATTGTCCTTAGTGTCCTTTTACGGGGTAACCTCATGCGAAACAAGCGTATATTATTTTATACTGATAACGCTGCGCTAATCGAAATCATCAATAAGACGACATCTAGGAACCTACTGTGATGGTCTTTGTCCGTCAGCTGGTGCTAGCCTCCGTGAAATTTAATATCTTATTTCGTGCCAAGCATGTTCCTGGTGTCCGGAATACTTTGACTGATGCTTTGTCGCGTTTACAGGTTTCCAAATTCCGAGCGCTGGCGCTGGTCGGCGTACAGAGTTATCCATCGGTGATTCCCAAAAAGCTCCTTCCGCAAAATTGGCAGAAATAACCTCTTATCTTGTACAAGCAAGTTTGCAGCCTTTGTCAGTCCCCACCTACCGCAGGGCTTGGCGGTTATATGAGCGTTTTTCCCACGAATCACTTCGTGGGGCCGTTGTTTCGCTTCCGTTAAGCCTTACCGATTTAAGTTTATTTATTGCTTACATGTTTAAGTATCAATATGCGCCATCTACAGCTCAAACATATGTCTCCTCTCTCGGATATAGCCATCGCCTGGCCGGTTACCCAGACTCCACCAAGGTTTTTTGGGTTCTGGAAATGCTAAAAGGCTATAAAAAGTTAGGTGCGCGAATCGATACACGATTGCCCATTACGTTACCTATTCTTCGGCGTGTTCTCCATCAGGTTCCCATGCTATGTTCTGGCGAGTTCGAGCGGCGCCTCTTTACTGCCATGTGCTCTACTGCATTTTTTGCGTTTTTGCGCATCGGGGAAATTACCACCTGCACTCGCTCCCCGTCTGTTCTTCGATCGGACAACGCCATCCGGTTTTATCTTGGGTTTTAAGCTTACTTTTCACGATTTCAAACATTCTTATAACCAACACCCTGTTGCATTGTCACTGTTACGTCGTTCCGATATATGCCCAGTTCAATACTTACTGGAATATTTATCCGTACGAGGCGCATCGGATGGCCCGCTGTTCAGGATGCCTTCTGGTTCTGCGATGCCACGCGCACACTTCACTAAATTTTTATCGTTGCTTTTTCATAGCAGTGGTCTCGATGACGCGAAATATAAGGGCCACAGTTTCCGTATTGGCGCGGCGACTTACGCGGCAGAATGCGGGTTTTCCGACCCGCAAATCCGCGCGGTGGCAATTTTCGCCCGGATGGGGTGGGGTGCCTCAATATAATCGGCTTGTGGCGTTTTTTAGCGCCCCACCTTTTCTGTGCTTGGCATAATTATAAAATATTGTAACAATTTTCTGTAATTTGCTACATTTGCTTAATAGGCCGGCATTGTGTTTTGGCACACTGCCATTTATTTATCCAAACCAGAGTATGTTATAATTCTTTAAATACGGTCCTCACACAGAAAACAGAGCTCACCCGGTCTATCATTTCCACCAGAGTATTGGTCTTAATAAATTTATTTTACTATATGAGCTGCACCGCGAAAGCGATAAAAGTTATAATTAGTGATAGTATAACAATATATAATATAATAATGTGATAATAAATAAGTAATAGCTAGTTAATGTTATTATTATATTAACTATATTACTTAGTTTATCGTTTTGTGTTGTTTATCTATAACACAATAGAAGCAGTCGCAACAGCAGCAGAAGAATGTGATCTGGGCCAATCTGTGCCTGGATGATGAAGTACGGAAAGCGCTGATTACTACGTTAAAACAGTATCAAAGCATGTCAATTTATTAACTATAGACCTGAAAACTAAAATACCTAAAACTAAGTTGATATCTAAGTTATCTTTACAACAACAAAATTTGCATAGCTACTATACATGCGTTCCTAACTAGGGTAGTGACTAACAATACTACATTTCCTTTTAATGGTATGATTTAAGAGACTTACAATTAACATGTCGAGAATTAATTAATAGAATGCACAGCCTGTAAATTACAGGCCATACAACGATGTACTTGAACACGATGTAAAATCCATGATCATCTAAAGACTGAAACCGAGTAGATGCATATATGGTAATTTCAGCGCTTTAGGAGTATAGCTGCAATAAAAGCACCTATTGCCACAAGAACTCCACCAACTGCGTAAACATTTCCTGTGTTGGTTTTCCACCATCCCTTAATATCTGGCTCTATTGTTGAACCTTCTCTCGTGTTTGATTCTTTTCTACGTTGCTCTTCGAGGTGTTCCTCTTTCTTCTTTCTTTCCTCCAATTGAGATTTCTCTTTTTCACCACGAACAGGTTGTAGATCTTTATCATCAAAAAGATTACGCAGTGCTTGATGGCAAACTTCTCCCTTCTTCTCATCAATGATGGCGACCACAGAAGAAATATTCTCCAGATTCATTTCAGTTGCCAGCATCACTGGTTCTTTGGACAGGGACAACTTCCACTCCAGGAATTTATCTTCAGAGAGTAGTGTGCTTTTGCTATGCAGGTCCCTTCGGCCTCCATACCACCGTGTTTCTGTTGCATCCAAGATAATCTTCTTTACACTCTCTGTCGATATTTGGCTCTTGGAGTCCACTTTAGCTCCGCAGGCTCCACTTAGATCCGCACCAACTGCTCCTTCTACCGAGTTATCAATTTTTTTCGATGCTTCGAAACCTTCAGTGCAGGTTTTTTCCTCAACTGCCCCACCAACATAAGCTGAAGTGACCACGAAATGACCGAAACGATTGAAAAAATTCATAAACGCTTCTCTGCATTTTTCGTCGTCTGTATATTGGTCAGGTAATTTCCCAACAGCGGACACAAAATTATTGGTGAAGGAGATTTCCTGCGACTCAAAATTTCCAATAACAATCTTAACAATTCGATGTTCTGTCAACGATATATTCGTGGTCTTCGTAGACTTGTTACTGCCATTTTCCTTCTGATTTGCACTCGCTCTGAAGTTAGGTGCCATTTTCAACATGCTCTGTGCAATATCAAGACTTACGCCGAGATTTTTCAATCTATTCTCTACGAACAATTCATCGGACTGAAATTTCCTTTGAAATTCCTGCGTCTCATTAACTTTTATGATTTGAGCACAACTAGGGATATTAAAACCATACTTCGTTTCATTCACAGCTGAAAACTCGAAAATATCAGAGGACACGGTGTTGTCCAATAAGATATTATATCCTCGACCAACCAGTTCAGCTGAAAAAGGGATGTGTAATGAGCAAGCTTATCCGAGTTTAAACGAAGCGTAAAAAAAGTTGGTAATGTGTAGTTATACTGGCAATATAATTTCTTTGCTTGTCAACCTTGTTTCACATTAGTCGCATACACTTGAGCGAATTACTGTGGTAGGGCTGTTGACGTCACGCCAAATATTTTGAGGTCTATGGAGGGTCGGTGATATTCATGTTCATGCAGCCTGTTCGCAGATAGCTCAGCGTTGAAGCGCCACAAAATATGCCCTGATAAGGCAATTATTTGATCCTGTTGTTAATAATACTCAATATATCAGAGTAAAGGGAGACTTAAACAAACAACGGGTTTAAAAAGGGTAGTTACAAAACATAGCCGGATGTCGCTCAGATTACTAAAAGTACTGTCCAGAAATAACCTAACCGCAACTCAACCGCAACCGCAACCGCAGTATTACCATCTTGTTCGTTCTTCAATTCTACCCAAAATCTGTGTAAACGTCATCAGTCGATACCACGGTATTTTGGTCAAGTGTTGGCAGAGCAAATATCCCGTGTCTCAGAAACGAGGCTGTTAGTTTGCTTCATAAATCTTATTTATATTCCACGATATCTCAAATTCGTCCCACGCTTCGTTAAATCTCGGGTATAATAACTAACTGCGCAATGAAGTAAACAGCCCCTAAGTTATTCTAAGTATACTGTTGACAACAATCATAAAATGCACTAGTATTTTAACTTATGCATCTTTGTTGTCAAGAGTACTTTTTTGGGGGCCACACTGTATATAGGAACTTTGTTCCTGGAATAGATTACAGACAAATACGCGTGATGGCTGGGCGTTTAATTTTAGCCTAGTTATTCTATAGTATTTCTGCTTCATGATAAACTTCACTCCCAAGCACCTTCGCATGTTCTATACTGACGTGAATGACAGTTTAAACTTTGTACAAGTAAATTAATAAACGGTATCCAAACTGTTTTAGTTAATGAAACATGAAAAATTAATTTTAAAAATGTGTAATTTATCATTACCTGGAATACATGAATTCTTTTCATTTTTAATACCAAATTTTTGTTTCAGCATTTCGATACAATGGTCGGAAATCTCTCCGTCATAAAAACAATTTATTGCTGCCAATGTTACAGACTGTAATCTTCCTTCCTTTAACAAACCCATAGAGTTCATCCAGTTCCCAAGTTTTGAAACTTTCTCTTCTTGTGTTTTGTCGAGTTTGTTTTCTTTAACATATTTCATCACACAAGTGGCGATTGGATTCAAACCTTAAAATCAATTTTTACAAATTGAAAAATTTATTTTACAAATTTACAATTAGAAGAGTTATGTACGATTTACGACGCAGCCAGCTCGACGACGCACTTGCAAACAAAGAAACACCACACGCGAAAAAAAAGGTACTATGCATAACTTGTGGTCCCACGACAGCGTTGACATTCTTACGACGCCTTCAAATGAGGCATTAGCGACCTTAAGCATGTAGAACGCGAACGCGACGACGACGGCCGCATCAAGGCTATCAAGGGTCATTGAAAAGAAATGAATAATTAAAGACCCACCCATGATGGGTTTTAGAAGTCGTCTTTGTTCTGTTTACAACGGGAAAACGTGTTTTTTTACGTCTTGCCTAGAACGGGTGCATTTCAGGACCCAGCGAGCCCTACCTCGAATTAGGCTCTATAGAATTGTCCTTAAACATAAACACAATGTTTTTTACGCCTTATATCTCACAAAATCGGTACAATTAATAATATAAAACAACCACTTTGCTATAGCATTTTTTTAAAGGAGAATTTCAGCCACGTCGTCGTCGTGTTGCCGTCCAATATGCTCAAGGTCCCTATTTTCAGGCTTACCGACGACCTGAAAGCAGCGGCAACGCGTGATATAGCAAGTTGAACTGCATTATCAGCTAAACCACGGGGGGGTTCTTGCATAAATGAAACGTTTGTATGATTATTTCAATGCCCTGGCAGAATAACAATTTCCCATAGCTTATATCAAGCAAAATATTTGACTAGCGACGTTGAGATCACCGCACCGTAGATCGTAAACTCTCTGCTATAGAGGAAAGCAATAATGTCTGACCACTGACAGAATCCAAAGTCGCAACCATAAGAAGTTGATCCGGATTAAATTAAGGGGATTTGGGCTAATTTCAACTTCCTAATTATTATTAAAAAAGCTTACTTGTACATATCTAATATCATCGTCATTTTTTTCCTGATGATGACTATATTTTAGTCGAAAAAATAACGTCGAAAATTATATTTTTCAAAATGTTTACTTTTTAAGGAGTTTCTATTGTTGCATATATTCTTTAACTTGTAGTGCAAATTAAAGTAAACGAAATTTGATTGGCTTAGAAACTTGTAAGCCATAGGAAAAAATGTGTTTCCGAAAAATAAGGATTCCCAATTTCATCATGGTTCAATGTTGATTGGAAATTGACCAAGCGTGATATTTAACAGTACAGACTTAACTGGCCAATCACTAATTTTTTTATATATACATTCTATATGATCGTAAGTTTTGAGCCAATCAATAAAAGGATTTATCTATTTCATTTTTTTGCAATGTTTGGAACTTTAACCTTTTAAGGACTGACTGTCCATAATATGTCCATGGAATATTTTTAAAAGGTTAATTTTTACATTTCGTGAAAATATATACTTATTACGCGTTGACCTCATTTTCCTACCTCCTTTTGCAGCGTCGCTAAAAGCATTTGAAAATTCGTCCTCTTCATCAGACAATTCTTCACTTCGAGAATCTTTCGCCATAATTTTATGACCTTCTGTTGGCCTGTCCTTTTTAGCTCTTGTGAAACAAGAATTAAACACTAAGAGGCCAAAATGATCATTATTTCGACGAAGAAGCTTCGCACAGGCGTCGTATAAATTCTTAGGCTGTCTCTCGCCATTCGGAAGAATTGTAAAATCACCTTTCAGTTTCTCTAGTTCATGGTCATCGAAGTCATTTTCTATCAATACGACAGGTGCTGACACGCCAAGCACTTCAAACACGATAGTTAAAATGGTATCTTTCCTTTCTTTCATCTTGTCTTTCCATTTACTCAAATTCCGGTACCCAACAGAGCAGCAATGTGTTACAACCACAACAAGATTTGAATGACTTTTGTCAACCACTTCAAGAAATTTTATCCCTCTAAGACATTTGGAAAGATTGCTATTCTCACTCTTGATCCGGGTATCAAGCACGTTCACCACCAAAAAGACAAGATTCGGATAAGTAAGCTGTTCTGGTAAATCTGGGTGCGTTTGGAAAAATCTTTTGATGGAAACAAAATTACAAGCATCTTGCTTCACACCAGCAATATCGTTGAAACCTGGTGTATCTATAACACTCATTCTTAAATCAAAACCTCGTAATCTGGGTTGTCAGTGGTAAGTACATATTCACTTGTCGTTCTAGTTTCGGACTCAGAACTACTGGTGACCGCAACAGGGTTTCCTTCTCCTGTATCAAGCAAATGGTTTATTGTAGACGACTTTCCAACCCCAGTACTTCCTACCAACAAAATCATGGCAGAATTAAATGGACGTTTTATCTTTGCACTTGAAAATAAGCAGTGATAAAGCTTTGCTCTGGGTGGTGGGTCGGAGTCCCGATCAAGGTTTTCAAATAATCTCAGTTCCTCCTTAAAAGCTGAAGCTGGCAAAGGTTTCAATTCACAAGGATTCGTTCCCATCGCCATTCAAATCTATCAAAAAAACCTATGCAACAAAAATATGTCTTATTACCAGTGTGATTATGAAGTATTACATATATTATGAAGTGATAGATGATGATAGATGATAGAGTACTAGTTGACCACCACTAGCGACAAATTTTTCAAATATGTTGAGATCGTGGTTAATTGGTTGATCTAATGGAACAAATTGACGCTGTGCTATTCATTCGACAGTATATTTAGCCGATTTGTCCTATTGTTTTTAACATTGCATATAAAAGAAAACTCTTTAAATCTGACAATCCTTAGTCAACTTGTGCGATATCAATGGTGTTGAACTACACAGATCTGCTGCACGCGTCACCTGATAGAATGGGCAGAAAATCCGAACAACATTAATATTTTACTTCCGCCGAAATTTGCATTTAAATGTCAAACTATAGCCTCTCGAGTTTATAGTTAACTGTGCAATATAAAGTACCGAAACGCTAAAATATAACTCAGGATTAGTAGTTAATCGCTTATAATATGTTGCCATTGCTACTCCAAATAGTTGAAAATAACATAAAAACGATGACGTAACGTATAAAATCGTTACTATATTAATGAGGCTTGTCTCAATTTTGTGACACGCATGGGTGGAAATCATGGCTTTAGTTTCCATGGCACGTTCAGCCCTGCAAATAGTTTTTCCATTGCACGGTTGCTTTCACTAGATTTAATCACTCAAAATATTAATCGTACTGTGTTCGCACGCATTTGATCACGAATCCAAATAATATGGCGAATAGGATTATCGTTGATAAATACAAATGAGACAATATACGGTTTACTTGATAAAAAAAATTCATCAAGTTGATCTATTTTGGTGTTATATAAAACAAATAATGAAATGTTTATGATTGCAATGGTAAGAATATTTCAATTCGGTGAAATATGGAATGCTTCATTCAACTCGGCTTCGTTTTTCACCTCATGAAAATAATCTTATCATTGCATTGCAGCACAGTTAACGTTAATAGGATATACATGGTTTGGAGACGACATAAAACAACAATACAACTCATTAACTATGTTGAGGTAGATTTATGTAAAAATTGCACCTTTCCCATCACATGTCTGTTGTATTTTTGCATAGATAAACCAATAGCAAACTTATAATTAACATATTTTTCAAGTGAAGGTCGATGAGCTTATAGAATAGACAATACAATAGACACGTGACGGGAAAAGAACCATTTTTTGCATAAACGTGGACAATAACATAGTTAAGGAGTTGTATTGTACTTTTATGGCTATTTTTTCTACGGCGATTTTTAAAACCAGGTACGGGGAATCAAGGAAAGAACGGCGAAGGGAATGGGGAACGATAAAACAAGGAATACGAAAAGCCAGTGGATTGCTGATGAACGTTATATAATATTAACGAAATATAATAAATTAAAATTTGATTGACAGTTAATGAAGTAGCACGTAATTTGACGCACATTATCGAGTATCCGGATAAGTTACCTTAGTTTTTACCGAAAAAGCGCGTGCTAACCTGTTTATAGCGAAGCTGTTTAGCTATCTGTAATTTGTATGAACGGATTGAACAACTGTTGTAGAACGTGAAGACCCGGCAAAAAAGTAAGTTATTATGTTATTGAATTTGGAACGCGCAGATACATCGGAGGCATTACTTGTTAATTTACATTTATATTCTTACACTTATACTCATATATAATTATAAATTATTAGATCGAATAAAAATAATACTTGAAAATGGTTTATACGATTCCGTGTCTCGCGTAATACCCGTGTTGCTACCCTGATAATCCACAACATTCGATTTCTGAAGAAAAACATTATACAGGGTGTCCCAAAAAAAACGCAACCACTTAAATATGCAAGAATATTAATATTGTTCGGGTTTGCACCATAGTTCAGCTAAAATGACTTTTAGCATTGTAAATAAAGGATTAAGAGCTATTTTCAATTCCCAGAGGTGCTTATCTATTGCGCTTTAGAGCTGTATTAATGTTCTGCATATTTAAGTGGTTGCTTTTTTTTTGGGACACCCTGTATGCCTTGAAAGCCTGCATTATGAGTGACGAAGACGAAACGTTGAAGGCCGCAAAGTTACAGCGTCGAGCTGCGAAAGCATCGTTAACGAGATTGGGGAAAGCGCTGATTCATCTGTGTGAGAGTAAAAGACCGGCGAACGAGGTAAGTGAGTACCTTGTTAAAATAAAAGATGCCTTTGAAAACGTGGTATCGAAACACGAGACATATGCTAATTTGATTGTCGATGATGAAGCGTTCGCAAATGAAGAAAAGTGGCTAGATGAATGTCAAAACTACTTTCTAAAAACTGAGATTGACGCTAAGAGTTACATAGAGAGTGTTATAACGAAGGTTGCGGACATTAGCCTTCACCAAAATGAGCAAAACGAGCAACATTCTTCAGGAATGATCGGAATGCAGAACGCAGACAGCGCAAGTAATACGACCCCGTTAATTGTTGAGGAAACGCATACAAGCGTGGGTAATAAAGCAAACAATGTATCTGGGACCCCCCTTGCGGAAATTTCCGAAGGAACTGTCAGCGCGCCAATTGCAATCACCGCTAGGAACGATGAACAACCCTCAAGCCAAATGCAAACCCAATCTGAAGTTAAGAGCGAAATAGGGACGGCACAAAAGTCAAACCTCTGCAGTTTTCAAATGGAAAAACCAAAACTACCAAAATTCTCTGGCGACGTGCGAGAATATGCCATTTTCCGCGCGGATTTCAAGCATGCAATCGAATCGAGATATACGAAAAGGGATTCAATAACATTACTGCGAACCTGTCTGAAAGAGAAGCCGCTTGAATTAATAAAGGGGATTGGTTCTGATTATGACGCGGCGTGGGAATACTTAGATTCCATATACGGGGACCCTCGGTACGTATCAGACACTATCACGCAGGACATAGTTAAATTTAAAGCGTTGGAAGATGGCGAAGATGCACGGTTTTGTGACCTCGTACATTTGGTAAGAAGGTGCTACAATACACTTAAGGAAATCGGCATCCCGAGCGACATGGACAACAGTCACATGCTGTCAATAATCGAACAAAAAATGTGTCCCGACGACCGTAAAGTGTGGTCGAGAGACTTAGAGAGAGATCGAAAGCCAGCAACTCTGAGCAACTTGATGACTTGGATGACAAGCGAGATGAAGTCGCGCATGCGTGCAACAGCCCCGGTTAGAAGTGGTGCGACAAGTAGACGAAAGATCAATCACGTACACGGCGAAATTGACAGAGAAAACAAGAACAGGAATTGGTGTTGGCTGTGCAACAACTCAAGTCATTGGCCTGACCAATGCCAGAAACTCGCAGCAATGACCGTTGAAGAGCGACTCAAAGTGGCTAAAGAAAATCACGTGTGCTTCAGCTGTTTAAAGAAAGCAGGGCGAGATCATCGTCAGGCAAACTGCAGTAGACGAAAGCAGTGCAACCAAGTTGAAGACGGCAATCAATGCACCTACACCCACCATCCGTTGCTACACAAGTCGAATACAGCAGGTGTCAAATTGGCGTCTGTATCCAGCCAGAATGATGCATTACTACCTGTGATTGCTGCCAACATTTGCGGTCCTAATGGTTTATACAAGCGAGGTAACGTTCTTTTCGATTCGGGAGCTCAAATCAGCCTGATTCGAAGTGAAACAGCAGACAGCCTAGGTCTGAAAGGGAAAGACATTTCAGTCAACATCATCAAAGTAGGTGGTGAAGAGGAAGCAATTCGCACCAAGAGCTACAGAGTGCCAGTAAGCGGAATCGGAGATTCGAAGAATTATTCAGTTACGGCAATTGGTATTCATTGCATTAGTGAAGATGTTAAAGCCATCAACACTGGCAGCATCACCGAGAAGCTTGGTCTACCAAGGGATCAAGTGAAACGAGGAAAGGGGCAAGTGGACTTGCTCATCGGGATTGATCATGCGAACATGCATACTGGCCAAACAAAGCAAGTCGAACACCTGGTTGCCAGGAGATCCCCACTCGGGTGGGTCATATTCGGCTCATCTACGGGACAGTTAAGCAATGCAACGACCACTGTTCTGCATGTGAGATATCCGGAGCCAATTGATCTGTCGGATTTCTGGGCGACTGAAGTCATGGGAGTGAAGGTGCAGCCATGCACTTGTGATGCAGATAAGTTAAGCCAGTCCGAGAGGCAAGAAAAGCGATTGATAGAAGAGTCAGCTCACAAAGTCGGAAATCAGTGGATGATTCCATATCCATGGAAAAAGGACCCGAGGAACCTGCCAGACAACAGAGACCAAGCCATGAAACGTCTAGATTCAACGGAACGTCGGTTGCTGAAGAACCCCACGCAAGCAGCCGCATACAACGATAAGATGGCAGAAATGGAAAAGATGAGCTTCTCTCGTAAGTTAACAGAAGCAGAGGTCAAAGACCACAAGGGACCAGTGCATTACATCTCCCACCATGCCGTGTTGAAACCTGAGAGTACAAGTACCCCAGTCCGCATCGTGTTTAACTCATCCGCCACGTACCAGGGCCATAAGCTCAACGATTACTGGCAGAAAGGTCCTGATCTCCTCAACGGTCTATTCGGAGTTATTCTTCGTTTTAGAGAAAACAAAGTTGCCCTCACAGCGGATATTTCAAAGATGTACCACCGAGTCCTTATTCCCCTAGACGACCAGCATGTGCACCGATTCCTTTGGAGGAATCTGGAGATTGATAGACCACCAGACACTTATGTCATGAACGTTCTCACATTTGGTGATAAGCCCGCACCAGCGATGGCTCAAATCGCGTTACGGAAAACTGCAGAAGAAGGAGAACGTGAGAATCCGAGAGCAGCACAAGCCATAAAGGACAATTCCTACATGGATGATATCCTAGATTCAGTTGCAACGAACGAAGAAGCGATCGAGTTAACCACAGCAATCGACGGGATCCTCGAGAAAGGCGGGTTTGGAGTAAAAGGTTGGCAGTCAAACGGAGAACTATCCCAGACAAACGACGAGAAAGATGGAAAAGAAGTTTGTGTTCCGAAAGGAAAACAAGATGCGAAAGTGCTCGGCCTAGTCTGGAATAATAAAGATGACGTACTCAAGTACAAAGTCGAAGTGGAAATATGTAAGACCCAACAGCCGAAGTTAACCAAGAGAAATATCCTCAGCCAAGTCGCCAGAATCTATGACCCGATTGGCTTCGCAGCACCTTATCTAGTCAGAGCAAAGATCGGTTTGCAAGAAGTGTGGAGGGAAGGACTTGACTGGGACGATAAACTACCGCCAAGCGATCAAATAAAATGGTTGTCATACTTTAGGGAGATGGAGCAGTTGAACGAAATATCGTTGGAAAGATGTTTGTGTCCAGTTGTAATGGTGGAGCCACCGACTTTGTGTGTTTTTGCAGACGCTTCCCGTGATGCTTTTGGGACATGTGCCTACCTCAGAAGCGAAGAACGTAATGGAGCTGTGAACGTACGATTTGTTGCAGCGAAATCACGAGTGGCCCCACTGAAAGAACTGACGATTCCGTGATTAGAACTACAGGCAGCCGTGTTAGCCAGCCGATTATGCAAGACCATTGAAAACGAAGTCCGAATCCAGCTGAAAGAGAGTATACTGTTCACAGATAGTGCGATTGTTCTCGCGTGGATCCGCAGCCAAGGAAGAAGGCTCAAACCGTTTGTTTCAAGTCGTGTCGGAGAGATACAAGACAACGTCCAGCCTGCCCAGTGGAGACATATTCCTACCAAGCATAACGTTGCAGATGACGTATCCCGAGGCTTATCCGTTGCACAGTTGGCAGACCGATGGAAAAATGGCCCCGAATTCCTGCACCTACCGAAGGAAAAATGGCCAGTTGAGAATGGGAAACCGGATCCGAAGGAGGTCGAAAGGGAATGCAGAAGCACAATGGTTGGAACAGTAACGAAAAACGAGATAACAGCGACGTGCGTAATCGATTGCGAAAGGTTCTCCAGTTGGAAAAGACTCGTGCGAGTTACAGCATGGGTGCTAAGAATGAAGTCGAAATTATTGGCAACGATACGATCCACAAATGAAAATACACCCGGAGGAGAGTGCTTGACGCCAGAGGGGCTCGAAAGAAGTTGAACGTTCTGGGTCAAAGAAGCCCAAAAGAGCCTCCACGCTAAAGTAAAAGCCAAAGAACTTAAAACGCTGAGTCCGTTCACAGATGAAGAAGGAACAATCAGAGTTGGCGGAAGAATCGAAAATGCGTTGGTTTCCTATGAGACTCGGCACCCTGCTCTCCTACCCTATGGTCACCGAATTTCAAAATTAATAATAGAAGAGTTCCACAGGAAAGGTCATACAGGTGTGGCAACTACAGTAGCGAAAACCAGAAGAGTGTACTGGATCGTTCGAGCACACGATTTAGCCAAAGCTGTGAAGTTCAAGTGTGTCACATGTCGGGTAGCGAACCCAAAAGCCGAGACGCAGCTGATGGCGAACCTCCCACCACAACGACTGAAACCCCATTCCCCGCCATTCCACTACACGTCGTGCGACTACTTTGGACCATTGACCGTCAAAGTTGGGCGAAACAAGACGACCAAACATTATGGGGTAATCTTTACGTGTCAAAACACCCGAGCTGTCCACCTAGAAATTGCCACCGATTGTTCCGCGATGGAATTTATTCAAACGCTGCGAAGATTCTTCTACATTCGTGGCTATCCAGCCGAAATTCTAAGCGACAACGGCACACAGTTTGTGGGAGCATTAACTGACCTGCGCAAGATGATCCAAGGAGTGGACAAGAAGTCACTGAAGGACTACTGTTCTGAACGAGGAGTGCAGTATAAGTTTATTACCCCGGCGGCGCCACATCAGAACGGATGCGCAGAGGCGCTGGTGAAAAGCTGTAAACTGGCCCTGAAGAAAGCAGTAGGGGAACATGTACTTACTCCGTTCGAGCTGTATACGTGTCTGCTGGAAGTGGCCAACCTCGTAAACCAAAGACCGATTGGAAGACTACCGAATGATCCCGACGACGGCTCCTACCTATGCCCTAACGATATACTACTCGGGAGAGCATCCCCTCATGTACCACAAGGTCCGTTTGAAGAAACGAAAAATCCCCGACGAAGAGTAGAGTTCGTGCAACAAATCGTTGAGTCCTTTTGGAGACGATGGACAAGAGACGTGTTCCCGTTACTTGTGCCAAGGAGAAAGTGGAACGTGGAAAGACGAAATGTGCAAGTGGATGACGTGGTGATCGTAGCAGACGGAAATGCAATACGAGGAAAGTGGACGGTCGGACGCGTGGTCGAAGTATACCCAGGGAAAGACGGTAAGGTGAGAAAGTAGAAACGTCAAGGTAAAGACGGCCTCAGGAGAGTATTCAAGGCCTGTGACCAAGATCGCGGTGATCCAAACAGCAGAAGAAAAGAACTGATAAGGAACACTTCCTTATGGAGCGGAGGATGGATTGCTGATGAACGTTATATAATATTAACGAAATATAATAAATTAAAATTTGATTGACAGTTAATGAAGTAGCACGTAATTTGACGCACATTATCGAGTATCCGGATAAGTTACCTTAGTTTTTACCGAAAAAGCGCGTGCTAACCTGTTTATAGCGAAGCTGTTTAGCTATCTGTAATTTGTATGAACGGATTGAACTACTGTTGTAGAACGTGAAGACCCGGCAAAGAAGTAAGTTATTATGTTATTGAATTTGGAACGCGCAGATACATCGGAGGCATTACTTGTTAATTTACATTTATATTCTTACACTTATACTCATATATAATTATAAATTATTAGATCGAATAAAAATAATACTTGAAAATGGTTTATACGATTCCGTGTCTCGCGTAATACCCGTGTTGCTACCCTGATAATCCAGCCAGAATCTTTAAAAAAAGGAATGAGAAAAGCCGGAATCTTTAAAACACGGAATGAGAAAAGCCGGAATCTTTAAAACAAGGAATGAGAAAAGCCGGAATCTTTAAAACACGGAATGAGAAAAGCCGGAATCTTTAAAACAAGGAATGAGAAAAGCCGGTGTCTTTAAAACGAAAGAGAAGAGCCGAAATCTTACGGCCGGAAGTTTGTAAGTAAATTAGTTACGCAATTTCCGCGCGTAATAGAAAATATACCAATTTGGCATGGCTATATTTTCCGTATTTTACAAAATTTCGCAGCCAATGTACGTTTGGACCTGCTAGTTTATGTTGTGTTCGTTAGTGACAACTGTGCTTATTACAGGAAAACTTATATCTTAATCATTTATCTCAAGTACCATAGGCATAGGAAATCACGTTAAATGAGGTTATTCAATAACCAAAGTTAATAGCGAGGAAACCACGCGTGATCCGGAAGTTAGGTGTTCCTGTCGAGGTGCGCTGCGTCAGCCCACGTGTTATATTGCGTGCTCGCTCGCGTTGCGGTCATTAGTTGCTCGGCACGCAAAGTGTAACAAGCTTAACAAAAAGTTTAAAAAGTTATATCGAGAGAATCGAAACTTCGTCTTAATGGATTCACACACGGCTGAGGCGTCTTTGGGAGAGTCTTCTACCCCAGCTGCCACTGGGACCAACATCAACTGGAGCGCTGCTTTTCAGTCGCCCGAGTTTCTCTCAGGGCTTCAGAACGCCATGGCTAACCTTGCGTCCACGTCGTCCCAGCACTCTACGACGCATTTGGAACAGTTGGGGGATGCGCTCCCGTCCACGTCCATTGCTACATCACACCAAGATAACTCGTCTCAGCAAGGTACGTTATACGCTCCTTCGTTTGTTACGGCTTTAAGCGGTAGTACTATCCCCGAGCCAAGTTTTTCCTTGCCCACAACCCGGCCAGCAGTGAGCGCATGTATCTCCGGCAACGAACCCCCTATTCTCTCTTCTCTCCATGCCACTAACATGTCGATGACTCCCCACCTCGGTCCTGAGAAAGCGTTTAGCTTGGGCCCCGGCCGTGCGCCAATTCCACCGAAGCTGGTCACGAAAATTCTCCAGAACAAATTCGTCGAAATGGGCGATCTTCTCCCGGAGAACCTCGACGAACCTGTTTCAGACACGACCAGCTTCACCATCGAGGGCTCGTCGATCGTGCCATTGTCGAAGTCGGCCCGTGAAAAAAACCACCATTAGACATTCTTTCGTGGGTCGAGTGCTTCAATAGCTATACATCGGTGATGGCTACATTTCACCCCCATCGGGCACGCGATTTGCTGGCTTACATGGCTCTGATTATTCGGACGGCCAAGCGTTTCGACGGTCGGGCCTGGTTCCATTACGATCGCGCCTTTCGCCGCGAAGCTGAAGTGAACGACCTTCGGGACTGGAGTACCATGCGCACCGATCTCTACAACTTTCACACGTCAGCGATGAATGCGCGTTTTTCCAGTAGTCGCCGCTCGAACGTCGAGTCTACGCCGTTGGGGCCCCGAAGCGAAGCGAGTGGGAATCCTAGTAGCCCACAATTCTGCCTCTCGTGGAATCAAGGGGCGTGCATTTCTCCGCGGTCACGCTGTAGATTTCGCCACGTTTGCAACGTCCCAGATTGCGGCCAGTTCCATCGCCGCATCGACCACGACCCACCCGCACCTCGCGATAGACGCCGACCCTCCCCCGACCACGCTCGCAATCGCTCCAGATCTAGACGTTGACACTGGTCACTATAGCACCTTGCATCGTACGTTATTTTTTAATATAAACCCAGTTAAACTGTTTACTAACCCCCGGGACTCGCTGGCTAACTCCCCAATCAATGTGGGCAACTTCGAGATGCAATTGCTTGGTCACGCAGATAGAGTTAAGGTTAACTATGTCATTTCTGGTCTGCGCGAGGGGTTTCGCGTAGGTTTTCATTCTAATTTAGTAAAACTTAAATCTGCTACTAGCAACTGTCCGTCTGCACTTGAACACGGCGAAGTAATTGATCAATACTTAACTACCGAAATCCAGGCGGGTCGAGTTCTTGGCCCGCTGGAAAACCCACCATTTGCGAATTTCCAAATAAGCCGTTTTGGCGTTATCCCAAAGAAAAACAGAGAAAATTCGTGGCGCCTTATTCTAGATTTATCCCACCCTCTTGGGCACAGTGTCAACGACGGCATTGATAAGAACGAGTTCCCTGTTTGTTATAGCAAGGTTGACGATGCAATACGTTTAATCGTCAAAGCCGGAAAAGGCGCGTTGATGGCAAAAGTTGACATTCAAAGCGCATACCGCATTGTTCCGATCCACCCTGACGACTATTACCTTTGCGGAATGAAATGGCGCGACCATTACTTTATTGATCTCGCGTTGCCGTTCGGGCTTCGCTCTGCCCCTTACATTTTTAACAGTTTGGCGGACTTGTTTGAGTGGATTCTTATTACTAATTACCTAGTTCGGGATCTCTTGCACTACCTGGACGATTATTTTACGTTAGGCCCCTCGGCGTCACCCATCTGTGCTAACTCGTTACAAGCTATTCAACGGGCAGCGAATGCACGGGCATCCCCCTGGCCCCGGACAAGATCGAGGGTCCTACGACGTGTTTGGTCTTCCTAGGAA